CTTTTGGCAATGGATATTTCTGTCCTCCTTTGATAATTTCGTTTAAAGCTTTGCGTGAGGCAGAATGGTCAGTCATCTCCTGCCATCCATGTTTGCCCATTGTCTTCCACTGTTGCAGCTTAGAATGTTTAACAGGTTGAGCCAGTTCAGGCATGAAGGAAGGTGGATCTAAAATCCTTCACTGTGGTTTGCCATTACTTAAGGCACAATTTTTGGTTTTGGCAGTGTCATCATTGAGCCATCAGAAATTTGACCCCATTTCATTTAAAGCAGCCAAGATTTTTTTATAAGGTGCATTGAGATGACTAAAGTAATAATATCCAGGATTCCACATCTCAGAGCGCAGATGAGTATCATAGAACAATCAATTAAGTGATTTCTGGAAAAAAAAATGGGTCTTTCCTATCTCCATCAAGTAGCATGGAAATGCTCTGAAATTTCATTGGGTACCAACTTACAGTTTTGAAAAATGAAAAAGTTCCTCCAGCAGAGGTCTTCCAGATGAGTACAAACCAAAATATTGTTAAGATAGCAGGGAACAGTTATTGGGCATAGCTCCAATGCAGAAGCCTTTGTATTTTCAAAGCTTTACACTCAAAGTTGGTTATTTTCACTGTTAGATTTGTGATTATACAAAGGGGATAGGAAGACAACCCTGAGTGATATGTTTATTGAGCAGTTCTGCAAAGGTGAAGAGTGTAAGAACTTGGCATCCACAACTGTTCTAACTTTACAGCAAATTTCTAGACAAGGACAAGCCACGACACTTACGTCAAAGTTGTTTCTCAAGAAGTAAATAAAAGCAGACATCTTGCAAGAAGTTGGTTTAAGAAACTTGAGATTTTCTGTATCTTTTACCTACAAGTAACCAACTCACTGAGGAGTCCTTGGTTTTTCATACGAATGACAGACTATTAACTTTTAAAATGAAAGCTCTGTCAAGAGTGGATGTGACACTATGAAAAATGGGAAGGCATGCTGCATTGCCATCAGTTCACAGCTCTAACATAAATACTATTTTATTCACTTCCATCCACAACCCTAAATAATACAAAGGATACAGCTTACAGAAACTGAATTTCTATACAATTAAATCCACAGCTGTGGAATTTGATACTGTATTCAAAACCAAATTATTTCATTTATTTTTCTGGGCAAAAGCAGAGTGTGAAATTTCATCATACATGTTTGTTCCTGCAAAATTACTATCATAATTAAAGAAGGATCTTGTGGTTAAGACGTGACTAAAAGACAGCAGGGACAGAGGCTGTGTACAGCTGCTCTACAGCTTGCAGAGGTTCTGGCTTTAGTCTGCAGAATAGGATAATTTAGTCATAGCATAAAGTAGACAGGACAATGTGTATTAAAATCCACCTGCAGAAATAATTCATAACTGTGCATTATCCCAAATGCAAACTCAGAGCAAGTAGCCATATTTTATTTTTTTGAAAGTGCATTTTACATGTTTTAATGAATATTAAAAGCATCAAGAAGTTCAAGGCACCACACTGGGACTTGATCTAGGAGGTGTTTTGTTTCTTTCCTATAGTATAAACTCAAGAAGTTTATAGTATCACTGATAGATAAATAATGCATTTAAATTCTTGAATCCTCATGTTTCCATATATGCTCAATAATCAGAAGGCCAATATCATTGCTGAACACATTCCAACTGCACTTAATGCAATTAACTGGGTTTTAAGAGAATAGGATTGTAAATCCAAGCATACCTAGTGGACAGAAAGTATAGATTAACCTCAGTTCAAGGGGGAAAAAAGTGATAATTCTTTCCGTCGTAATATATTTTTCATGTAGGTCTCATATTTTAACAGCTTTAACCAGAGTAATTTCATGTTACTCACATGCACATCAATTGTAGTGAATCAAGGCTTGCAAATTAGAATTTTATTAGCCATAGCAAGGTTAACAAGTAATCTTTCAGTGTAATACTTCAGTGTCGTTTACTCTTCCATTTTATCTGACAGAGGCTCTTGATACCCTCATGAAAGACAGAAATTATTCAGCCTTAGTGGTAACTATCAACACATGTGGCCAATTGGTCTTGAACGAAGAAGCCACAGTGGCAAAAAAAAAAAAAAAATCACAAAAACAACTGCACAGCTTTGCAACCCCATCAGAAACCTGAAAGCCTTAAGCAATTTAATTATTGTATCTTTCTGCACCAAAATCTCCTAACTGGTTTGGAACTAAAGTTGCAGTAGCCAAAAATTTCCTCCCCCGAGGACAACTGATGATATTTGCTCTTATGTGTTTATCTGTTTGAAAAAAACAAAGTCTTCATTTAAAAGTGCATTGGCTGCTGCTTGCAGGGGCTAGAGCTACATGTGTGGTATTTGTTATCAGTTTGTGAGACATATCCAATATGATAGTGAGAGATCCAAAGAAAATAGCTAAGCACTAATTAAATCAATATGCTTTCAAGATGCCAATAAAGTTGCGTGCTTCTAGAGCATAGATCAGCGTTTGACTCTTCTGCAAAGTTCGAAATCTCTGCTTTGAGCTTGCACCCACTTTTCTTTACTTGAGAAGTCATTCTGGACAGTGGAGGCTCTTTAATAGGAAAGACCCCACTGTTATTTTAGAACAACTCACTTTCTACAAAGTAGCAGGATTTCTTTCTGAAATATATTTTTTGAGATAGTGACCTTGATGGAGAGACTCTATGCCATCAACAACTTAACTGGTGTGTTGGCTTCCAGACTGGTTCCAATATATCTTTATGGTAAACTCATTTGCACAACATGTTTTGTCAGGACATACTGAGAGTCAATGTGCTCCCCTTGAGATTGTAATAGAGTTGCATTCTGGGATTTATTTGAAAAGCTTATCCAACCATAACTTTGGTTGGAGAGATTTGTCTGCCTTCTATTTTATTTTAGGTGTTAAAAATGCTAGAATTTTTCTTTCAAGGGAAGCGTAAGATTCCCTAATCCATTCTTCCATCACAATGGTGTGAAGAAAAGCCACAGGGAGATGGGACCCCTATGACAGTGTGACCATAATTGAAGTGGAGAAAAGGAAGTACCTTCTCTCACCACACACACCCAGGCCTACAAACTTTTTGACCCAGGGAGCTTCAGAAAACCTAGGGAGCACCTGAGAAAGTCTACTTTCTAGATTTTCTATTTTCTATTTCAATAGCATTGAACTGGCCAAGACTGTTTAGTTTCCTCAGCTCCAAATGTCTCAGCTACTGTAGGCTCCTGTTTCACTGTACATGGCACATTCTCCTGAAAAAACCCAATTTAAATAGGTTAAGATTATTCTCAAGCATAAAAAAGGCTCAAATAGAAAAAATAAGACTGTATGTAACATATCTTCCCTGTGTGATTACTGAGGCCATCCCAGGGTAATTGCCTCAAACAAAATGAAGTAAAGAGAATAGATTGGCCAAGTAAAACAAACCCCTCATTCTAATCACGTGGACTAAAACTTGTAAATCAGATCTTGTTCTCTGAACTTTGTAGTTTCAGCTTAATAAGATGGAAGATTTAGAAGAACATCCAACTTTTTTTAAGCTCTGGCTTCATCTGCTGATGGGATTCAGTTACCGCAGAGCAGAATCAGCTTCTCTCTCTAAAACAGAAACCCATTACCTGGATGGCAGCTGAATGGCTCTTTGAGATCTGCAGGTGACACTGACAAAATCCTGACTTACTATGATGGAACCTAAGTCACTGAGACATCCAGATGCCTAAATTTAGGTGTCCTCATATCATGGATCCTACTCATTCCAGGGGGACTTGGTTGGTTCCTAGCAACCCTTCTTGGGCCACAATTTCACAAAGTAGAGCATCCAAGGACCTAGAAAGTATGTCAAACCTCAGTTAAACCTGAAAGACATTCAGAAATCAAATCAAGGAATAAAAATAAATATCCCAGACTGCAGTTTTCACTTTCCACCATATTTTGAGATGTATTCTCATAACTAGAAAGAAAAATCAAGACAAAATGTGAAAAGTAAGTGCAACTAAACATTGAAAGATTGCATGTTGTTTCTATATAGTAAAGATATTCTCTGGCATAGTGAGCTTATAATACAAAATCCCAAAGTTTGGGAGAGATAACTATGGTTCTCAAAAAAAAAATCAAAATATAAATGGTCATGAATTGCAGTGAAAAACTACTGTCCACATTACTAAACACTAAAATAAATCATACTGAAAAAATACTGCTGATTCTAGATTTTGATAAATCTATTTCTTATATAATTTCTTCTCTGCTAATTTGATCATCAATTTTTATCTGTTAATACTGACTTGTTTGCTGAATCGAGTAACTTCAATGAATCCCGTTTCTTGACTCTGTCAATGACATTGGTACGAGCTCTTTTGACTTCTTCACTTTTCTCAACTTTTAGGCTTTAAGCTGAACTCACACGTTTTATTCAGTAGAGTTCTGTCAAATTATTTTCCAAGAGTGTATCTACAACAAGAGGTTCACAATACTAGAGGATCCCTCAGTCTCTCAAATTGCAGACATTCCCCCACCTCACACCACTTCTGGGACAGTCAGGCAGGCATTACAGACACACTATCCTATTCCTCTTCCATTTGCAGCTGCATCTCCACTGCTGTCCTAGGAAGTTATAAAGCTTAATCATTCTCTGCTAGTGAGAGATCCATAGGGTATGCAGCTTCTTAGAAACTGGTCAGATTTATTTGATGCCATCATGCCTCAGGGAATGGCGTTTACGACAGAGTTGAGTGTTAATGATCAGCATTCCATGTTCTAAAAATGGCGAAAGGTCTATGGAATAGTCTCTGTAGCTATTTCTTGGATGCAATGTCAAGGATAAATATTAACAGGTCCTTTATAAATATAATAATTTGCCCTGCAAAAAAGCCACTTCAAAGAGTGTAAAATCCTTCCCAACATCTTACTAAATCAGGCACAATAATGATTCCCTGTATAATGAAGGTATTAAATTATGTCTCAAATTCATGTCAGTGAAAATTCATTTAGTGTTTTTCACTTACAGGCATCACAGGAAAACGAGTTGAGACAGTCCCACTACTGGCTGTGACAGAAACATTTGTCTTCCAATGTCTGTAAATAGGAAAAAAGGAAATAAGAATTGATTGATAAAAATTTGAATGGAAAAGAGGTTTGCCATTTATCGGTATGAAGAAACTGCTATCACAAATCTAGTCTGAATAATGCACCATACTGAGACAGAAAGGTTTCCATACAGCCCAAGGATGAAATCAATAGTCACAAAACTCAAGTCCTAACTGAAGCTTTTGACAACTACTTGCTAATTCTAAAAGAAGTAGCATAAAGTCTTTTTTTAAGAGACAAAATATTGTAAGATTTAACTAGCAACTAATGCTCTCTATTTCCAATACCCTGAGAACAAGAGTATGTGAGTTAATTTTAACATGTGGAAAGAACATTTAATTTTATCAGAGGGAAACAATGAAGAATCTAATTTATTCTCCACATGTGTGCATAACCCCCATTGATATTAATAAGAGTTAAGCAGCATATGGAGAGGAAAATAGGGCTCCAGATGTGGCAAAATGTTTCAAGAAAATTATGTGCAGCTTTCTAATGACCACAAAAATTATTTCTTTTTCTATATCAGTGTAGAGAGAAAAATTGCTTCATATCCAGCCAGTCATGAAATGTTCCTGGCTTTCCTGAGGCTATGTGTGTGTGAGCAGTGGTACACACACAGACACAGACACACACTCACAAATGTGTATATGGATGGTGTCTCATGGACACACAAGCACATCCTTCTCAGTTGTTGCCTTTTTCAACTAGGGAGATCCATGGCACAGGCTTGTTTGAAATTCCATTGCTCTTCCTATTGGCTGCTCTTCCCAGCAGGGGTAAAAGAAGGAAAATTTTGCTTAATTCATTTTTTTTAAGAGAGTGTTTAAAGTGCTGTCAGAGGTAGCCAACAGGGCAAATAAATGCTGATGGAAAACCTTCTTTGCCCTACACTACATTTGACTTTAATTCTACAAACTTTGGGGAGTGTGGAGGGTTAATCTTGATTAACCATGGGCTAATTTCCTCCGTTTCCCATTGGCACTCCTGAAGTGGGATGTGTTTTGACTTAAACCTTGACATTTTTACCAGTCACTTCCATTTTCTTTTCAGGATGAACTGTGACATAAGAGGTTGGTCTTTAGCAAGTCATTCCATCTAATTATTCATTCTTCTGAGGCATTTCCTTCTGAAGACATAAAAATACTTTGCTGTTTCTATGGTAGAGCTCTTTCTCTTAATTTTCTGAACTTTATGAGAACACAGCAATCCTTATGCACTTGCCCAAACCAACCACTGCTAAACAGAACCTCTGAAGACCCTGAAAGGGTTGTTCTTTTTTTGGTGTTCACAGCAGAATTTTAACTGAATGTCATTCAACTTTCTTTTCACAGCATTCCCTGGGGAACTGCCTGGGCCTTGAAATCCTGCGCTGCATGTTCTCTGTAGCCAAGAACTTGGAAACCTGAACCAAATCATCCTCAACACTTTTACAGCCCCCACTCTTCCCAGCTGAGCTTATGACATGTTAATGTTGTTTGCACACAGACACTTATTTATGACTCTTTTACATAGCTATCATCCAATTGTAACTCTAATTTATTGTGCAATTTTAGAACCATACCATTTGAAGCGCTTGCCTCTGATAAAATTCCCTAAAATTTGCATTTCATGTAATGTCTTTGCATGCTTCAAAATGTCAGAATAATAATGAGAGCAGGACTTCCAAGGTTTTGTTTCCCTATTACATCAATGGGATGAAAGACAGGTTGGGTATAGGCACCTCTGTTTACTTTCCTTTTGAATCATAGACAATAGGATCTTCAGTCACTGATAAAAGCTCATTTGTACTCTGAATGTTTTCCTGTCCACTTAAGCTGATTTTGTATAACATGCAAAATGACTATTCACTATTCAGTTAATTATGCACCAAATGGAGTAAGTCAAAGAATTAGCTTAATCAAGCATTCTTTTTTTTCCCTAGGAAAAGCCCCCAGACAAACCAATCCAACTAGAAAAAACCCAAAACCAGATAAGAGCTATGACAGGTATTGCAGATAGACTCCTGGCTTGACTCTCAGGAGACATTCATTCCCTTTTTGATGGGGCTGTTTACCTCTGATGGGAGTTTTAAACTGGAGATTTCATTTTGCCTTCGTTTACTTTGTCAGCTTTTTCCATTGTCAGGCTTAGATAGTTAGTAAATTTCTACTTATGCTACAGGCTATATATATATACATATATATATATATATATGTGATATAATTTTTACAAGCTTTTCATTTTTACAAGCTTTTCATTTAAAGGTTTCCTCAGTTGTGCTTTTACCCTTGTAGGTAAAGACCACATATAAATATATATATTTATAGCAAACTACTTATGGAATAGAAATATTCTTTACTATCTATTCATCAAAATGCTTCTTCAGCTGAGCTTTTATCTTTGAAGTCCAAATATGAACCACCCCATCATCCGCCTCAGATCACAAATAAAAGGATTAGAAATACAGAAATTCTGCACTGAGACCAAGACCTGGCTTTCCCTTCAAAGTCAGGGTTGTCAAATACTTAAATGGATCTGACTTAGGAAATTAAAAGGGGCCAACAGCTGAAATTGTTATAGGTCCTATCCCTATTGCTCACTACTCATCCATAGTCTTCTATAGTCTGCATACAAGATAGCTTTACCCAGTTCTGAATGAAAGAAAAACCTGATCCTCTTTTCCTTATATATATTTGGTGTGGATGCTTAAAACTACAGCAAAGCATCTCAAGCAGAAGATAAATTACTGGGAAAAGTTAACTAAAGAAGCAAGGTAATCCATGATGCCATATCTTGAAATGAAGTTGAATTTACTAAAATATGGGTTTTGCCAGGATAATGGTTCAATACTCAAGATCTGCAGAACATGTTGGATATTTACACTTTTCTCAAACACCTTAGAGCTCAAAATCCCATTTCTAATCTTCTTTGTGACTGAGAAATTATAAAAAGAGATTTGTTGGTAAACCTGTGGTTACCTTGTGACTGTCCTTGGTGGAATGGTACTAAGCAGGTGCATGGGGGTTTTATTGTATGAAAGGATGTATTTTCATTTATAAATTCAACAAAAGCTTCAATTTTTGACTAGGAAGATTTGTCTCTACTGATTTATTTCCTCCTCCCTCTACTGCAAAAAAAAAATATTGACACTACCTTGTGGCATTGCAGTTTTTACTCTGGTGCATTACAGTTTTCAAAGCACAGTAATTTTTATGATATGTGGTAGCTTAAAGGGAAAAGCAGTATCCAGCAGGGAAATGAAGGGTGAAACACTGGCCTCTTTGAAGTCAGTGAGAAAAACTATTACTGCCTTCAGTATGGGCAAGGTTTCAGCCCAAGCATTCAGGGAGAAACATGGAGCTGTGTATTGATTTTACCTCTTAGGCAAAACTGTAGAGAAGAGAAGAGAAATGCATTCATCTGGAATCTAGGATGGTTAATGTCAGAAGGCCTTTAGGAAATTGTGTTACATAGATGAATGGTATGTTGGTCCAATCAAACATCCAAAATCTCTACATTTGACCTCCAAGTCTCTAAAAGAAGAATAAAGAATCCAACTGCAAAACCCATTATATGCCGTAAGGTTTCTGTTTACATACGTAAAACAGAGCATCCAAATCTGAACATATTGAAGAATAAACCAGCCAAGTTTGAGGCTCCCACAGCTTATATTAGTAAATTGCAAAGTATACCAAATACATTTAGACAGTATTTTGTAAAGGAGCAGTAAACACTTATAAATAAAACCCATATTAATATGGGAATTCTCTCTTAGTAGCTGCCCCTCTCTAATTTAAGATATTTGTAGCTAATTAAGGGAATATAGTATCACAGTTAAACTGGGGAAATATTGAGATAAATAATTCATGAACATCTGAAGTAAATAACTTCTAAATAGATACTTTGACTAATTTTTTTTTCGACAAATAAATGAGCAAAGCTTTGTTTTTGCAATAGTTTGATGAACTGAAATTTTCATTTCTGTAGCTGAAATAGAACTTATTTTGGACAACTGCTGATTTAATTTCTAAAGGTTCATAACACACAACTCAGGTAACAAAACATACAGCTCTACCACTATTTATGAAAGTAGAGTATCTGAATACATTTTTGCATTCAACTGTTCTCAAATCCATACGCCAAAATTTGTCAATACCAAGAAATAGGAGAATGCTTAAATAGCAAATAAATTCATTAATTAAATCTTAGCAGGTATGCATAAAATTCACATACAAGGAAGAGATGACTGGAGAGTTAAAGTAGCTCTGCTCGGAACCCCACTCTTTCTTGCTTCTTAATGAAAGAGTAAATCTGAGGCTTTGATATCACTGCTTTGTCATGGTAATTGGGAAACTGAATTCAACGTGATGACTTTACTGCAGGTTGAAGAAAGGAGAGATGTTGAACTATGAGGAAAAGAATTTATTTAAACGTCAGTCTAGAGAAAAGGCCAAAGGTCAATAAAAGCTATGCATTGTACATTATGGAGTTTCTTTTAAAGCGTGATGTACTTGAAACAATTCTGTATGGAAATCTCAGTTTATGCCCATTAGGCCCATATATCTCATTGAGTTTGTTAATACATAGTAAAATAAGAATTAGAATACTCAGAAAAGGAGACTGATTATTGTTGTTAAGTGCATCAAAATTGTTTCTATTCTTGTATTTTTCACCTCCACCTACATCAAATTATGTGGTAGTGCAATTGCTTCCAATAATTATAAGAAGTGGAAAGTAGCTCTTATACAAACATGACCTTCACAGTAGATAAGGATCTATTCTGTTCAGAGAAAGGCAATACAGAAACATGGAGAAAAGTCCTCTTTTCCTGTATGTGCAGGACTTGTTTGATACTAGCTGCCTGGGCCAGCAAAGGGTTTCTCTGTCCAAAATTATTAGTGTTTATGGTTCAGTAAAAAAATTAGGCACATGGTTAAATATTTAATAGTTATGTGTTCCACCTCTAGAAAAATTTAAGTTAAACACTGTCATGTTCCAAAGTAAGAACATAATCATGATGGAAAAGAGAACTATACTGAAAATAGGACTTTCAAATTGTATTCTCTAAGGCAAAATATTTGAAACTTGTTGATTGTTATGAAGAATGGTAAAACACACTGAAGTTCAATTTCACCTCAACTGATTCTGTATAATTTATTTTTTTTATAATAAAATCTAATGGCAGCTACATAGCTGACAGGTAATTTCAAAACCTTTATCAGTTTCCAATTACAGCTTAGAGCTCCACAATAAAAAACTTTGAAATCAACATAACAAGGAAAGTCTCTACCCCAGCAAACTCCCTATCTGAGGTTTAATTAAAATAGGATGTATGAGACAGAAAGAAAGAGGAAAGGACAAGTAGGATGGATGTTCATAAATTAGTCATAGCAGCAGCTTTAGCACTCACAAATGATGACCAGCCCATTTGCTGTATGTTTTTTTGCAGAGCTGATAAAATTCAATAGATGCTTCTAGTTTGTTCACCAATTGAAGGTGCAGAGCTAAAAATTGCACCAGGCATTAGGGGTCTCAAGCCTTCCTCTTTGGAGTGTGAGCAAAAAAGCAAGAAATCACAGAGAGTCTTGAACTACACCACCACCTGCTGTTGCAATCATTATGACTCGCATAATTTATTCATACCCAAATACAGTGTGCATCTGCTATTTATTGATATTTTGGTTTATTTTTCTTATTATAACTTCTGCTTATATTGAATCAAGTTTCCAAGTACTGTGGATAGTATATAAATATGGATTATATGTTGCTTATAGAGGCCTTTCCCTTTCACAGCATCAAGGAATGAAAAATGCATTTCCTCCCTTTCCAGCTAAGCAATATAAACATCAAAGGAAGGATTAGCATTTTAGGTCTTTGCACTCTAAATCCTTGTGTCATATATCTTGCTGTCTCACACAGAACATTTATATTTCTATAACTATTACGTAATCAGAGCAGTCAGCCAAACATCTTCACTTTCCTCTTATTTGCATAATTAATTAAATTCCAACATTTTTGCCAAGCTATCTACACTCACACTGAAATAACAACTGCCACTTTTCATGCTGAAATGAATTCACTACCTGGGACTCAAACTGCTGCTCTCCCTGCCAGGTGAAAGTTTACAGCACACAGTCAGCCCCTGCTCCTCTGCTACAACATCCCAGCCAATGTCATCCCAGATATTGTGGATTATGGCACATGCCAGAAACATAACCCCTGGTGCTGTGACTGCAAAACCAGAAGGGCCTTGAGGATTGTGCTGCAGCCACCTACAGGGGCCTGGCTGCCAGAAGGCAACACAAACCTTGGCTGTCATATGGCATGGACAGGGCTTGAGGCTGAGGAGGCTCAGGAGGTGCTGATTTCAAGCCAGATTCTTTTAGGAGGGCTCTTATGAAATGTCCCTGTATAATGGAGACTTCAGCAGCTTAAAGATAGCAATATAAATGATTGTCTGCCTTGGATTAATTTCTTTCAGATGAAGTAATCCAGGCTGATACGGAGATTCATGTTACTACAGGTCTTAGCTAGTGCCCTTTTTTTTTTCTCATCTATATTTGTGTTTTAAATCTCTTTTTCTGCAGCAGAAAGCATTCTGCCAAGTCAGTAAAATGAAAGAAATTCTATGCAGAGGTCTTTTCCTCCACTGTGAAAGTGCCTACTATGTCTAAAGTTGAATGAGAGGAAACCAGCATATTAAACGTGTGGATACCTAGCTATGCAATAAGCTATTTGGTTAATAGGGAAAAATCTGGCTTCTTGAAGGAAAGCAGCACAGCTCTGCCTGTTTTCCTTTATTTGTTATTTCTAGGTTTTCAACCCACTGTATAGAAGGGTGACTTTCTGCTTGCTTTTATCACATGGGAGCAGCAACAACTCTTTGTCAGCTAGGGCTTGTCTTCACAAAGTCACTGCAAGTCAGCTGTGGGGGCGATGGCCATGCAGAAGGCAGTGGCCTTTCTCATCTGCAGAGCCTTTTTGTGAAATAAGGACGCAAACCAGTACATACCAGTTGGCTGGGGAACCAAGGCCACTCCAGAGGTCACTCCACAGCACAAAAGCAGCACAGACATGTCCTCAGCTGTCAAAGTCACTGTTTTGCACTGATGGCTCTTCAAATGCAGGTCCTCATCCTGCTTACCCTTACAATTTTACCAAAATACATTCTTCCACCAGAGTTTGCATGACAATGAAGTTATGCAGGTACTTACACAGTAACAGGCGTCAAAACACATGGTAAAAGAAAGTTACTTTCAAATATAATTTTACTTATTTTTGTGTTTGGTTCAACAGTTCTTGGCCTGCAAGCCTTATGATTTGCTGTAATTCCATGGTGTTCACTCATTTTTGTTTATTGGAGGACAAAATGTGTGTAAGCTTTAGCTTGAACAGGAGTTTCACCATGCCAAAGTATAAGAGTGGATAATTGGGCTACAGAAATATTCTAATACATTGAAAGTTTGGAGAAACATTTTAGGTATCTTCTGAGATTTATTTTTTTAATCAAGCAGCAATGGGTTTGTGTTCCTTTAATATTCCAACTATTACCTTGAGCTTCCCATATCTATTAGTTTTTGGAATACAAAGGCCTCTTCCACAGTGCGTCAAATATTTAAACTATTTCAAATTTCATACTGCTAGCTGAGTTTTAGCATTAGGCAGGCATTCATTTCTTTAGTCTATAGACTAGTTTCTGGTTTGCTGAAACGTTGTTCTTCAACAATCTCTTTTATCTCTTAATAAAAATAAATAATTAAATAAGATTTTAAAAACCCAAAACCTAAAGAAACAGCCCCAAAAAACAAACACTCTAACTGTGTCAGTAAAACTAGATTGAATCAATCTAGAAGCAAGGAAATCTTCAAGGAATCTTCCCCAGGAATGAAAACCAGAAAAGCTTTCAGATCTTTCTCATGCTTAAAGCAAAGTATACAGTTTTGTATTTTTCCTTTGCAACTCACTGTCAATGTCAAATGCAGTGCTGTAAGGTCATAATACATAAGGAAATGTGATTTTTCTGAGTTCCTCAAAACTTTTGGAAGCTGTGACTTCTCATCAAAGTGCAGATATCATGGAAGCAGGCACTAAATTTAGTTCTATAGGGAGGGTAAAGTAGAAGATTTTTATCAGAGTTATATGAAGCATAGACTTATGGAAAGCCCAGGAATAGTTTACATAAAGGTTTACCATTTAAAGTTTATTCTTGATACTAGGTATTTACATCATTAGTAATGGGTATATCTGGGCTCTGCCAAATTAGACTAGGGCAGAATCTATTTACAGTTTCTGTAAAACAGAACTGAGATTTGATTGCATTGTCTTTACTTTGCACTTTTTGCACATAACAAGGCTACTTTTGTGTCATTTAAATTTGCTTCCCCTTTGATGTAGTAATTTCCCCTCTGGTGAAATGGCTTTTAAGTTCTTTGCTTGTAACAAGAAAAAGGCCATCCTGTCTTCAAATGTGAGTTTCTTTTAATCTACAGTACATTTCACTTAACTTTATTAATTTACTTTTCAGTGTTGCAGCAACTGAGATTACACAATCTCATACCTGCTCTTACCACAAAAATTGCCAACAGTTGCTGGTTGATAATTTCAAAGGTACACACACTCATAACCAGACATGTTCATACTCACTGGTTTTGGATAGAAAATACTCCATTTTCAATTACTGGATATCTGGAGTAATCATTCTCTGAAGAAATTGCTCTCTTGATTTATCCAGATATATATATGGGTGGAAAGATAATTTAAAATTAGTTAAGGAAATTCTTTTCTGCCTACTAAGTCTCAGCAGAATGAGGGGTTTTTCTCTCTTTCAGGTTATTTGCCCCTGTCCCTGCAGGTTCTGACAGTGTTGTTAACACCACCATATTTCACCAATCATATGAGACACAATTCCAAGAGTTGCTGGAGAGACATGAGGGCAAGAAGAGTGCTAGATTATGGAGGGGAAAATGAAGACACAGCAGGCTACGAGGAGGCAAACACTGGAAAGAGATATAGCAGATGGAGCAGGAAAAACAACCACGTAGGATACAAGGGAATCCCATTTGACTATTTGAAACATCACACACATTGCAAGTACACAATTTACTAGGACAGTCTTTGTGTTCCCTGTACTATTGCAGTATTTTCCTACACCCCAGGTATCAGCCTGGTTTTATGACCTATCTGCCTTTCTCATTTTGCCCTTAACATCCGGCCTTCAAGATGCGTGACACAAAATATTTGGCCACAGACCAAAAAGCAGTGACACGCCTGTCCCGGTTTTTATGTCCGTACGTGGCAATTTACAGATTAATGGAGTTAGTGCTAAAGCCTGGTTTAAAGCCCATTCCTCCTCACCCGGGGCGAGCCGTGGTTACAAGATAAAGCCCGGAGAAGGCAGCTGGCCTCGGCGGTGCTGCCCGGACCCCGCGGGGGCAGCGGGACCCGGCACCGGGACAGCGGCACCGCTGCCGCCGCGGCCGCCGCCGCTAGAGGGGACTCGGGACCTGCTTTCCCGAGGAAAAACGGGAACCGGCCGCGGCTTCTAGGGAGCCCGGGCTGCGTTTTGGCTCCGCGGGAAGAGGGAAGCGGCTGGGAGCGGGTTACAGAGCGGGCAGGCGGTTTGCACGCTGCTTTGGGACGCGGAGGAGCTGGGTGGGTAAGGCTTAGATTGCCAAAGAAACTTTAATGCGCTTCCTCGCTCCCAAAGCAACTTTGTGTTAGAGACTCCCTGTTATGAAACATGGAAGGCTTTCATAAATCAGCGTCATGGCAAATAGGTTTTAAGCTTCTTACAGATCCCGTGCCAGCAAGACTGTGTGCCATGCCACTCGGGCGCCCACCTTCCTGTCGCCTTTCCACCCACGATTTTTAAAGTGAGATGGAAGCTTTGGCTGGCAATAACACATTGGAAAAGGGAATGAGAAGGACAGATAACAGGCAGAAACCTTCAAGTGATGCTTTCTCGGCTCTTCTTTCCCACTTGCACACTAAGACACAGGGCTGCGAACCCAGCTGGTCGGGCAGACCCTCCATGGATGCTGCAGCCGCCCCCCGGGTGCCCCAGAGCCCCCGGGCCAGGAGCGCTGCGGGGGGAGGTGGGAGGGGGAACCCAAACTGTGGCCAGGCCGGGGCCCCGCGCTCGCTGTGCACCTGGCGGGGCAAAACTCCCTGCTGGTGTCGGCCTGTTTTATGGGGTTTTTTACTAAGAAAAAGGGATGTCAGAAGGGAGAAAAAAAAATGAAGAGGAAAAAAGGCGAAGGTGGGCGCTTGCCTGGAGGGAGGGAGAGCCCCGCGGGAACGGAGGGAAGCCCGCGGGGTCAGGAGGCGGACAAAGGGCTGTGAGGGCGAGGGGCGCAGCCCTGCCCCAGCCGTAGCAGCAGCGGGGTCGGCGGCGGGCGGGGGTCGGCGGAGCGCAGCCCAGCGCGGAGTCCACGCTGCGGTACCGGGGAGGGAGCACCGGCCGAGGCGCTCAACAGGCGCTGCCGCCCCGCCGGGACGGGCCCGGCCCACGGCGGGAGCCGCGCTCGCTGCCAGCCCCGTGCCAGGCGGCGGCGGCGGGGAAGGGGCTTGGCCGCCGCTCGGCAGGGCTGTCGCGCCGCCGGGGCTCGCCCGAGCGGGACCCACCCTGCCCGCTCAGCCGGGGCCGGCAGCCCGGTCGGCAGCGCCGCCGCTTCCTTTGTGTGCGTGAGGGGAGCTGCGGCGGGTCCCCCCGGCGGGCTGTCAGCGCTGCCCGCGAGGAGGCGGGGAAGGGAAGGGACGGGAAGGGAAGGGACGAGGGAAGGCGCTGGCAGGGCGGCTCTCGCGTCCCCGTCACAAGGTAAGCCCTGCTCCCCAGGGCGGAGAGAGGCGCTGGAAGCGCCGCGGGGCCCTTCGCCTGACCTGCCGAGCGGCTTCGCCCAGCCCCGGAGAGCGGCCGGCAGGGCTCGGCGGGTCGCCGCCGCCTCCTGCTCCCCGGCGGCGCGGGGAGCCGAGCGCGGGCTGCGGCGGCGGCTCGGCGCGGCACGGCTCCGGCACTTTGCGATGGGCTGGCGGCAGCGGCGGCCGGACAGCAGCGGGGGCCGACGCGGGGCTCGCAGCTAAGGGGCGAGGAGGAGGGACCATGGCCGCATCCAGTAACTCCAGTTTGTCCGGCTCGTCGGTTTCCTCCGGTAAGTTTATCCAGCGAGCGCCGCATTTCTCCCCTCCCTCCATTTTAGCAGGGAGCTACCTGTCTGCAGAGCGCCTCGCCGTCCCGCTCGCCCCGGCCGCGCCGCAGGCGCTCCCCGAGCCCCGCCGGGCGCTCTCCGGGGCGGCGCTGCCCCTTCCCGGGGTCGGCTGTCCCTCAGGCGGCACCGAAGGGGGAAACCGGGACGGGGGAAGCGCGGCGGGGCCCGGTTCGCCTCCCCGCCGCCCTGCCGTGCCTTTGTGTGGGGCGAGGGAGAGGGGAGCCCCGCGCCCGGCTGCCTCGCCGGGGGAGCAGCATCCCTCTGGCTCGGGAAGGGGCGCGCCCGCGGCCGGCGCGGTGCCGGGAGCTGCCGGGAGCCGCGGGGCTCGGGGTGAGGAGGGCAAACAGGGACCAGCGCGCATCCTCTGCCGTGGTCCCCGCGGCACAGGACCGGCCCCGTGTCGCGACCCGGCGCGTCGTGGGGCTCTGGGGCGGGCGGGGGTTGCCAGGCGTGCCGCTCGGTGGGTGTTGTGGCACACCTCGCGTTTTCAGTGCTCCTGCAGGACTGGGAACAATTAAATTCCCGATCCAGATTAAAAATGCTCCAGGTGACGGAGTGCCCCAGGGTTTCGGCCGCGGGTGTGAGGCGCTTGTGGTGCTCTGGGTTTTGGGGATGCGGTGGGAGGCGGCGCGGTGCGGCGCTCACCATGGGGGGCTGGCTGCGCTGCAGACCCGCAGGAGGGCAGAAAAGTTACGGTGCGTTTTAAACCCGGGCAGCCTGAAATTGAAAGCAGTGATACAAGAGTGCCACTGCCTGCTGCTTAGCTCACGAGCAGTTACTGTAATATTTAAGTTATGAGAAATTGGCTGAGAGTAACATCCTGGCATTTCAGTGGGCTGAACGAGTAAATAGAAGCATGAACAACTTAAGGGTTCAAGGGACTTGTGACTCAGTGTTTTATTTGAGGTACCAGACAGATTTTTAAGAGCATTTCTTAAACATAGCAATATGTGCTGTGAACAGCAGACAAGCTCCTCTGACTATCAATACAACTCTAGCAAAATATAAATAAATGTAAAGGCCAATAAGCAACTACATTTTTTTTAAAGACAATATATGTAACTTACACAGCATATTCTATGCCACTGTTCCAGTGTTCAACACTTACAAACAGATCCGAAGAAGGAACTAGGCCCTAAAAACATTTTTTTAAATAGTTTTAACAAAAAAACACAAACATTGCAAGCCCTTATTGCCTTGACTCAAAAGCACCTGAATGAAGTAGGCATGAGAAATTCTGCCTTGTGTTCACATTCACAATGCAAGACTTGCAAGATCAAAATGGAAATAAGCAAGAATACAGCCAACTTTATGACTTATTAGTGGAGGTACTCATCTGGGCAATGCGGTTTTATTTTATGCATCATTTGTATATTTTTGCATCTAAGTTATGTGATAAAACCAGAAACAACTTTAAAGGCCCAGACTGGAACCTGTGACTCTCTTCCTTGATGCTTTAACCATTAGGCTGCTGAAGTATGTCCCCAGCTTGGAGAAACTGTGTAGCTCCCTTGCTCCATGAATCTCATGGTATTTCTTGCATATAGCTTCAGTGTCTGTAGAAGGATACTGAATGCATCCCTCTGAATCCCCTCTGGCTTTACTAACTCTGGGCTTCTTGTGGATCCTTCTTGTGGCTTGAGAGATGTGCATCCCCTGCAGAGTTGGCTCAATTGCTGAAATGCAGGGAACAGTGGGAGTTCAGGTACATCCTTGGTGTGAGCAGTTGATGTCATCCAACTCCAGGTGGCCTCCTGCTCATCAGTTAAATCTAGTGCCAAAAATAACATCCAGCCAAGGAACTGAGATCTAGGCTTTAGCTGTACATCATCAAAAGATGCACATCAGGAGCTGACACATGACAGTACCCTGGCTTTGTATGAAGCCCTTAGCTATGGCCTACAACGGTTTGTGGTTTGTCTTTTGTTTTGTGTTTTTGCAAGCGTGAGCACAGCTGAGCCTTGGCCCATGCCTGGGGCTCTTAGGTGCCACAGTCGTACAACTAATAAATACTGTCAAGTATTTATTTTATAAAGCAACTGAGTGACCTTGACTTTCATGACTTATGACCTTGGAATGGTTTTTGGTTTTGTTCCAGTTTATTCAATCTATATTTCTTCTATGCATATACTAACCAGCAGTTAAATTTGCTGCAGCATGATAAAATTGCCAATATTAGCAGACACGCCATATCTGACTATGTGCAGCTGTATTCTGGGTGTCTGTGGTTTAAGTTCTCAGAACTCAGCAAGTCTTACAGCATTTTGTTTACATGGTCTAAACAAACAGTCTTGCCTTAAAATGCAGTTTGGTAGAGTTTATATGTATGCTTAGCATGCCAATATGAAGATTTCCAAACTGTATAATTATTTCTATTCCACAGAAGAGGGGAGGTTATACTACATTCTACTAACACAAAAAGGAAGTGAATTTTGAGGTTGATAGCAGAAAACCATGCTGCAGAACTCAGGTCTACCCCTTCTTACTAGTGCTGCCAAAGCTCGAGAATGTGTTACTACAAGTGACCAGTTGTGATGTAGCATTTCTGCTTCAGTTCCTGCCAATTCATGTCAATGAGAAAGTTAAACAGTTCAAATACAGAACTGCCCAAGAACTTTATGGTGTAGATACTCTGCTTGCTCACTTATATTTCTGTAAATGTACAAGTGGGATTTATAGTCTTCACTTGATCTTGTGTCTGCATTAAAGTTGAGACTCAGGTTATGTTCTGGAGTGGTTATTTATAAGCACTACCTGCCCAGTGTCATGGCAGGGTGGTGAGCTGTATCTGTTGTACAGATGGGGAGCTAGCATGCGTGGAGGGCTATGACTTCAACTATCCACTGGTGGTAAAGCAAATATTCATACTTAGGAGGCTGCTGTTGCTTTGATTTCACAGCTGGAGGACCAGTCCCTCCTTCAGAGCTTGTGTCTGTGGTCTGTGTGCTCATCTCAAGAGCCACTGTGAGGCTGCTAATTATAGGTTCAATAATATTAGGTTCTTGTTACAGGCCCCATCTGACAGAAGCCTCTGAAGGACTTTTTTCAGTAAGCTGGCACTCACTGGTAATAAAATCTACAGGAGAGCCATGGGTATTTGTATTGTATTTATATATCATTTCTTCAAGCTCCCTGCTTTTGGTAGCAGAACTTAAGCTGCCCTGACTACCAGCTGTTGTGTTTGAGGTGGCTGGGGGAGAAAGAAGGGTAATATTCTGGGGGAAGAAGGGGGCATGATAAGCGATTACATTGAGTATTCTTTTTTGGACCTTAGATAAATCTGCACATGGTATAAAAAGCTGATATTATAATTACTTCCACTGGGAATTCCACTTTACTTTTCTGTAATCTCTTCTTTAACACATACCCAGGTGATCTATTAGCTGTATTCACTGCAAACCCCTAAATTTTGCTCTTCTCCCAAGATGAAGTGCTGATTTAACTGCAAGCAGCAACTTTTCTCTCTCTCCTGTCCTCTAAAGAAAACTGTGCATGTTTTTATGCTTTCCTTCATGCTGCAGTGTCCTTAAAATAGACATTCCCTTGCCAGTGCCCATCTTAGTCTTGACCCTTATTCTCACTCATTATAATCTTTCTTTTTAAAAGCTTCTTTGCTGTTGCTGAAACTTCTCAGCTTTTTCCTGGCAAACAATCCACCTTTCCCACTTGGTCACTAGCTGCCTCCAGTTTCCTCCACCCAGTAGCCAAATACTGATTATAAAGAACTGATGAACTTGAGACTTGACTTTCTGGAATGTAAATAGAAGCTTGAGTGAAGAGACCTTTGTGGCTGTGCCTGCTTTGCTTCTCAAAGAAGCAAGAAATGCAGCATGTTTCCCATCTAGGCCCAGTGCAGGGGTATTCCTAGGCAGTGTTTCCCACCTAGGCTCAGTGCAGTAGTATTTCTGGGCACTGGACTTCTTCATGCAGTTATGCCATCCAGAGTTAGTACAATGTGGCCATAAATGCCAGCTGGCTTTTAAATCTGCCATTCTGCTTGAGGGGTTTTGTGCCAGATACCCTTCCTGTGGCAGGTGGATAGGTTGGATGGCTTGGGCTGTCTGTCAGGGAAGGGTCCACACGGAAGGTAAATGCAAATACAAGCCTGATAAATGATAAGGTGTAACCAGGCTGCCTCCAACAGCAGGACCCAGAGTGTGCCAAAACCTTTGCATGAGCCTGAGCCTGTGCTGTGAGAGTGGCAACACTGCAGGAATTCAGGTGAGAACCCAAGGCAA